AAGAGGCTATGATCCTCACGGTGTCCATGGGGACCTTGTGGACCATCTTCTCCTCTAGGCCCCTCTGATGAAAGCTCTCCCTGTGGTTGGTCTGGAAGACAGAACCAAGGAGTGCCTGCTTGTGGGCTGGCAAGGGCTTGCCATGGTCTCACCTGTGGTTTACTTTCCCGCAAGAGGCTTGCACCCAGATACTGAGTCTCCCCGAAGCCCAGAGCTGTGCACGTGTTTCACTATTTTCTAGACCCCTGGCAGCTTACTGTGTGTGTGTGTGCGCTTGTACATGCATGCAGGTTCATTGAGCAGTGCTCTTCCCTCAGCGCAGTGGGAACCATTTCTAAAGCCCAGCCACTCCGCCGTCACTCACCAGTTTGTAGGTGGACAAGGTCAGCTGCACAGACACGAACTTCAGGCCCCAGCCTTTGATCCTGTCCTGGAATCCGGACAGGGCCAGCTGCCCGATGATGCGGAGCATGGCCATCCTCACCTGAGAGGCCAGAGCACAGACATGCTGGGCGCTAGAGGTTCCCCTGGCACCCAATCCCATGACATGAGACAGCTAAGATTTGAGGGTGCTGTGGTCTGGAAGGGGTCTCTGGGGCTACCTGGATGCTGCCCACTCTGTCCACCACTGCCTGCCTCATCCAGGGGATCCTGTTCAGCAGCAGCTCTACCCAGGTGCCCCATCTGCGCCCTTCAGAGACATGAGCACACTGCTTTCTCGGTAGGGCTGCTCCATCCTCAGGCGGCCCTGGTGAGAACCACCTGCCTCTTCTCTCGGGCTCCCCAGGGCTTACACGTGGGGACGACACAGAACAAGCCTATTCCCTCTGCCCCTGACATCCTCCAGCGACTGAAGACAGCCCTGCCTCAGGCTCAAGACCGAGCACCCTGTTCCCTTCCTGGTTTGTGCAGACCATCACCATCCTGAAGTGCACCCTCAGGACATGAGGGGTCAGCCGCAGGGGCCGTGTCCAGAAGCCAAGCTATTCTCCAGGGGGCTGAGGCTGCAGTGGCCAAGATGGTGGGTTTTAGCCTTTATTTGCAGAGTTGCTTTTCTCAAATGTGGTAATGACCTTACAAACACCTAGCTAACCAAGCAGCTTGGGCTGACGCTGGGTGTGTTTGGCCTCTCCTCTCTCCAGGGTAGTGTCAGAGCCCAATCAGAGCAAAACTCCAGGTGCTTGGTGACAGGGAGGGTCTCAGGAGAGGGGCCACAGCTTCGAGGAGTCTTATTCTTCTCCAACCCCACTCAGGACTGGCTGGACAGTTAGGTTTTCCATCAAACGGCTTTCCTTGAGAAGGCAGCCTCGCCTCCACGCACAGAGCTGGAGGGGAGGGGTGGCAAGCAGGCTGTGGCTGATGGAAGAAGGCGCCTGACTTCCCTCCACTTGCCCGGCATAGCCCAGCACACTCCCCCTTTCTGGGTCTCCCCACCCTGTTACCTTGGACCGGGTGTCAGAGAGTGTGTTCTTGACCACTCGGATGGCCAGGGAGATGATCCTGATGCTCATTCTGGGCTCTGAAAGAGGAAAGCCCGCCTGGAGGTCCACTGGCCTCAGGGCTGGGCTCTGAGGAGATGCCCAGAAGTGGTGAGGCCCCTCTGCCACCTTCCACGGAGACAGAGGTTCAGGACCCGTCCGTGCCGTGACTCCTGAGAACCTCTGACTCACCCCCACAAGCTCAGGGCCGCTGCCCTCAGAAGTCACCCGGCGCTCTCAGTGCCCACCCGCCCCAGCCCAGGGGGTCGTCTCTAGGCCTCACTCCCTCGGCCTCTGCTCCGCGTGTGTCTCTTTGGAAACTAGGGGACTCTCCCTGAGGGCAGGGTCTCCTCCTGAGAGCTCGGGGGTCCACTCAGCGGGACACACAGGGCCAGACACACAGCGGACACACGCAGACCACCCCGCCCGGCTGCGGAGGCCGGGGCTCCGGGGCCAGGCTGCTGCGCTGTCTCTGGCTCCACCGCATCCCACTGTGTGACCGCGCGGGACTTACTCAGGCCCTCTGAGCCTCAGCTTCCTCCCCGTGACAGGCGGACACTCAGAGCGGGTCCCTCCCCAGCCTCTGTGAGCAGTGACACGAGCTGACACACATGGGGCCTGGTGTGCAAGAGTGTGAGTGTGTGCTGGAGGGAGGGGGAGGAGGAAGATCAGGGAGGTAAGGAAGGGCGCAGAGAAGGCTCTCGAGAGGTCGGCGTGGACAGAACCACAGTCAGGCAACTCAGGCCCTTGCTACACTCAAGTCTAGGTGCTACTAGACGTCACTGCAGGAGGAAGAATAACAGGAAATCAGGTCCTGGTGGAAGATGCGGGAATTCAGGCACAAAGGGACGATGTTACACTTAAGAGCTTTTCATCTCTAAAATGGAAACCTTTTTTCTGATTATAAAAATAGTCTATGTTCACTGAGAAATTAAAATAAAAGACAACCAGCCTTCATGGTTTAGGTGTATCCTTCTCAACTCATTTATGCATAAATGAGCACCTAGATTTCTTTCACATCACAGAGATCATGGAGGTGGAGGTGATGGAATTCCAGTTGTCCTATTTCAAATCCTAAAAGATGCTGCTGTGAAAGTGCTGCACTCAATATCTGTCAACTTGGAAAACTGAGCAGTGGCCACAGGACTGGAAAAGGTGTTTTCATTCCAGTCCCAAAGAAAGGCAATGCCAAAGAGTGCTCACACGACCGCAAAATTGCACTCATTTCGTATGTTAGTAAAGTAATGCTCAAAATTCTCCAAGCCAGGCTTCAGCAATATGTGAACTGTGAGCTAGATGTTCAAGCTGGTTTTAGAAAAGGCAGAGGAACCAGAGATCAAATTGTCAACATCCGCTGGATCATCGAAAAAGCAAGAGAGTTCCAGAAAAACATCTATTTCTGATTCATTGACTATGCCAAAGCCTTTGACTGTGTGGATCACAACAACCTCTGGAAAATTTTGAAAGAGATGGGAATTCCAGACCACCTGACCTACCTCTTGAGAAACCTGTATGCAGGTCAGGAAGCAACAGTTAGAACTGGACATGGAACAACAGACGGGTTCCAGATAGGAAAAGGACTACGTCAAGGCTGTATATTGTCACCCTGCTTATTTAACTTATATGCAGAGTACATCATGAGAAATGCTGGGCTGGAGGAAGCACAAGCTGGAATCTAGGTTGCCAGGAGAAATATCAACAACCTCAGATATGCAGATGACACCACCCTTCTGGCAGAAAGTGAAGAAGAACTAAAGAGCCTCTTGATGAAACTGAAAGAGCAGAGTGAGAAAGTTGGCTTAAAGCTCGACATTCAGAAAACTAAGATCATGGCATCTGGTCCCATCACTTCATGGGAAATAGACGGGGAAACAGTGCAAACCGTGGCTGACTTCATTTTTCTGGGCTCCAAAATCGATGTAGACGGTACTGCAGCCATGAAATTAAAAGACGCCCACTCCTTGGAAGGAATTTTATGACCAACCTAGATAGCATATTGAAAAGCAGAGACATTACTTTGTCAACAATGCTCTGTCTAGTCAAGGCTATGGTTTTTCCAGTGGTCACATATGGATGTAAGAGTTGGACTGTGAAGAAAGCTGAGCACCAAGAATTGATGCTTTTGAACTGTGGTGTTGGCGAAGACCCTTGAGCGTCCCTTGACTGCAAGGAGATCCAACCAGTCCATCCTAAGGGAGATCAGTCTGGGGTGTTCATTGGAAGGACTGATGCTGAAGTTGAAAATCCAATACTCTGGTCACCTGATGCAAGGAGCTGACTCATTTGAAAAGGCCCTGATGCTGGGAATGATTGAGGGCAGAAGGAGAAGGGGGCAACAGAGGATGAGATGGTTGGATGGCATCACTGACTCAACGGACATGGGTTTGGGTGGACTGTAGGAAGTGGTGATGAACAGGGAGGCCTGGTTAGCCACGGTTCATGGGGTCACAAAGAGTTGGACATGACTGAGCGACTGAACTGAACTGAAACAGTGAGACATGACTGATAAAGTTTCACCTTCTCTGTTGCTTCAATTTGCATTTCTGTAAAAGATGGGTTTACTGTCAGGAGAACGTCTCTCACATACAGTTGCTCAGAGTGTGTACTGCACAAGGATAAGTAGCTGAAGGGCTGGACTGATGCCAACCAAGCACTTCTCAGGGCTTCCCAGGTGGCGCTAGTGAAACAGAACGCTCCTGCCAATGCAGGAGACATGAGAGATGTGAATTGGATCCGTGAGTCAGGAAGACCCCCTGGAGGAGGAAATGGCAACCCACTGCAGTATTCTTGCCTGGAGAACCCCATGGACAGAGGAGCCCCGTGTGCTGGGAAACAATGGGCGTGACTGCAGCGCCTGCGCGCAGCATGTGTGCTTCTCCAACCCTGCAAGACCAACTGCTGCGAGCAGAGGGCGCCTCGTTCACATTCAAGCGGAAGCTCTCTGAGCTGGAGCTCTGGGGAACAGCCTGTCCCTGGGAATCGCTAGGCCAGGCTTGGGGGCTGGGCTGAGGGGATTCGGAAGCAGGGTTTCAGACTAAGCTTAGGCACTAGGTCAACGGGGCTTTAGGGCACATCTATACTGTGTATCTAGGCTTTATAGGCAGCCTTCCAGCTAGCTTTGGGAGTTATACTAGGATTTGTGGTTTGAAATTCAGGCTCAGGCAGAAGCTGGGATCAGGGCTGAAGGAGAGGGGCGAGGCTGTGGAGGGTGGGACACAAGGCTGGTTAGGTTCAAGAACAGGAAATGGAGCCACGGAGAGCCCTGACTCCGCGGCCCACCCAGCAGAGTCTACAGAGAGGAAATGGCCCAGGCACTTCCCCGGCAGTCCAGGGGCTAAGACTCTGTGCTTCCATCGCGGGGAGCATGGCTTCGATCCCCGGTCAGGGCACTCAGGTCCCACATGCCGCCGCAGGGTGCGGCCAAACAGTTAAGGGGAAAAAAAGGCCAAATATGACTGACACCTGCCACCCTTGCTCCCGCCCGGTCTCCCTGCGGGGTGAGTGCTCACCATCTGGGCTCACCACTGCCCCGATCAGGGCCAGGGTCCCCACGCGGACGGCCTCCTTGCTCATCTCCATCTGACTGAGGAAGAACTGCATCAGCTCCTTGGGGTAGGAGCGGGCTGCAGAGGGTGAGGGGGAAGGACACCTTCAGTCGTGCCCCGAATCAAGGGCGGCAGCGGGACAAGGCAGCCCCAGGGACCGGCGCTCAGAGGGTGCCAGCACTCCCGAGGGTTCCCAGGGCGCCTTACCAGGGGCTATGGAGCTGTGCACTATCTCCGCCAGGTTCTGGCTGCTGAACTGCTGCTGGGCGGGGGCCCTGGAGCACACCTGGGGAGGGGCGGGCAGGGGGGTGGAGAGGTCAGCCCCGCGGCGGGGCACACGGGCAGGAGCCCCACCTGTGCCTCGCCCCCGGCAGGAGGCCGGAGGCCTCGGGCATCGGACGGGGCCCCACCGCCACCCTGCCACCGGTTGCGCTGGTCCACACACCACAGGGCCTCAGCGCGCCTCCCCTACCCGCCCCCAGCCCCTGTCCCCTGACTCGCCCTGGGGAAGGCCACGCCCCGCGCAGCACTGGGGCTCACCTGGACATGCAGCTCCGTGAAGATGATGTGCAGCTGCATCTGCGGGACTGGGCTACTGGTGATGAATGACATCTCCAGGATCTGCCTCAAGACCTGCAGCAGGTGGGAAAGGGTGGCAGGTGACCTTCGACCTACTCAGGTCAAACGCCAGACCTTTGCCCCTTGACGTTCCCCCTCTGGATGTATCAGTATCCCCTGGGAGCTGGGCAGAGAGGCCACCTCTCAAGCCCCGCCCAGACTCCCTAGTCCCACTCTATTTCCAGCCGCCTCTGAGGATTGCGGTGGACACTACAGCTTGGCATGTCTGCACTAGGGCCTCCGAGTGTGGTGTTCAAGGCCTTCTTCCCCTTTCTCCCCTAGCCACCTAGAAGTGCATCCCAACTTTAGAAAGAAGGTCTGCACGTGGCTCCCCAAATGCTGCATGTTTTTTTCTGTTCCCAGCTCTCACCAGGAGAAGGGCCTCGCCTCATCTGTAAATGAGTGACCCCCTTCACAATATACAGCAGCCCAGGTCACAACTTGGCTCAGAATCTTGCAAAGACTCCATCTCACACACGTCCAAGGCTGGTAAGAGGTTGAATGGTGTCCCCCGCCACCAGAATCCATGTCCACCCACAACCTCAGAATGTGAGCTCACTTGGAAATAGGGTTTTTGCAGACCTAATTACTTAAGGCTCTCAAGAACAAGTCAAAACCACAATGAGGTACCATTACACGCCAGTCAGGATGGCTGCTATCCAAAAGTCTACAAGCAATAAATGCTGGAGAGGGTGTGGAGAAAAGGGAACCCTCTTACACTGTTGGTGGGAATGCAAACTAGTACAGCCACTATGGAGAACAGTGTGGAGATTTCTTAAAAAACTGGAAATAGAACTGCCATATGACCCAGCAATACCACTTCTGGGCATACACACCAAGGAAACCATATCTGAAAGAGACACGTGCACCCCAATGTTCATCACAGCAGTGTTTATAATAGCCAGGACATGGAAGCCACCTAGATGCCCATCAGCAGACGAATGGATAAGGAAGCTGTGGTACATATACACCATGGAATATTACTCAGCCGTTAAAAAGAATTCATTTGCATCAGTTCTAATGAGATGGATGAAACTGGAGCCCATTATACAGAGTGAAGTAAGCCAGAAAGATAAAGACCATTACAGCATACTAACACATATATATGGAATTTAGAAAGATGATAATGATAACCCTATATGCAAAACAGAAAAAGAGACACAGATGTACAGAACAGACTTCTGGACTCTGTGGGAGAAGGTGAGGGTGGGATGTTTCAACAGAACAGCATCAAAACATGTATATTATCGATAGTGAAACAGATCACCAGACCAGGCTGGATGCATGAGACAAGTGCTCGGGCCTGGTGCACTGGGAAGTCCCAGAGGAATCGGGTGGAGAGGGAGGTGGAGGGGGGATTGGGATGGGGAATACATGTAACTCCATTGCTGATTCATGTCAATGTATGACAAGACCCACTTCAATATTATAGAGTAATCAGCCTCCAACTAATAAAAATAAATGAAACAAACAAAAAATTTTTTAAAATAAAAACTGAAAAAAAAAAAAAAAGATGAGATCACCCTGACAACGCCTTACATCCAAGGATCAGTGTGCTTACGAGAAGAGGAGAAGACAGAGAGAGACACAGAGATGGCCATGTGACCACAGACGGGGTGCTGGAGTGACGCAGTGCCTGGGCCACTAGAAGCTGGTAAGAGGCAAGGTTCTCCCCTAGAGCCTACAGAAGGAGCTTAGCCTGCTGACACCGAGATTTCAGACTGCCGGCCTCCAGAACCATGACAGCCACATCTCTGTGGTTTTAAGCCACCTGCCTCCTGGCTCTTTGCTGCGACAGCCTTAGGAAACCGCTATGAGAGCTGTGGCCTCACTGTGGGCCCAGAGCCCTCTGAGGCATCATCCTTTCTGCATGGCTTCCCTGGGGGCTCAGACAATAAAGAATCTGCGTGAAACATGGGAGACCCGGCTTTGATATCTGGGCCAGGACGATCCCCTGGAGAAGGAACAGGCAACCCACTCCAGTATTCTTGCCTGGGAAATCCCATGGACCGAGAATCCTGGCGGGATACAGTCCACGGGGTCGCAAAGAGTCGGACATGACTGAGTGGCTAACACATGTGTCACGGCAGCATATATTTCTTGGAAATCGGACAAGTGCCAGGTCCCGTGGCTATATCTCCCACCCATGAGAACACCCCACGGGACACTGAGGAGCCCTAAATACCCTGAGCCCCCAGCCCAGGCCCCTCACCCGCGTGATAAAGAGTGCCTCCAGGCTGCCCTGGTACCCCACCAGCAGCAGAGGAATGGAGTCGTACACTTGTTCCCGTAGGGCATCCCTGGGCAGGAGGAGGTTCAGCATGGGCTTCAGGGACTTGATGACCCCCAGCTTCACCTAGCACAGGAGCCTGGTCTCTAGACCCCTCGGCCAGGACCACCAGGAAGGTCCTGTGACATCAGCCCCAGCCTCGCAATCAAGGACAGGTGACTGAGGGGACCTTGGAGTAGGGTCCAGGCCTCCCCCGGGTCCCCCAGCTGCCAAGCCTGTCCCCCAAGTCCTGACTCTCACTCAGGAGACCTTGGACAGGTGCTCAACCTCTCTGTGTGTCTGTTTCCTCATTTGTAAAACGGTCCTATGACCCGGAGGTGGCGTGGAAATGGCTCCCACAAGTGAACCGCTCGGAGAGTGCCTGGCACACGTGGAACAGGGACCCTGGTCCAGCAACTCCAGGGGCCTTTATCAAGACACCTGCAGGGCCCCCCTGGCTCTGCCAATCAGGTCTCCCCCTCCTTGGACCCAGTGGTGTCTCAGTCCGGCCGGCTGCACAGGCTGGAGAGCAATGACCCGAGGACCACGGGCTCCCATCCCCACCCGGGAGGTCCCGTCTACCTCCGGGGTGTTGTTCCGCAGCCACACCGTCACGAAGTAGCGATACATGGGGAACAGCTTCAGTGCAAACTGGTCCTCAGTCATCACGGGGTACACGCTGTCCTCCAGGTGCCTCAGGTAAAACTGCACCGTCTCGCAGAAGGTCTCCATGGCTGCCCCGGGGCACGTGCAGTGAGCCCCGAGGGCCAGGACGCACAACAGAGCCTTCCGGGGCGCCTTCTCAGGAGGAGCCCTCACACTTCCATAACCAGTGGGTTACTGAGATGGCCAGAGATGCTGCTGGAAAAATCTCCTGCAGCCCTCGCCATCTGCCTTTCCAAGCCCCCTCTCAGCTCCTTAAGTTTGGTCCTGCATGAAGCCCCTCCCTGTCTGAGGGTGAAAGACTCCCCCGGGGGTGGAGCACACAGGTGTTACTGGGCAACCGGCCTTGAGGTTCATGTTGCAAGGTCAAGGGTGAGACCTCCAAGAAGACTTTCTAACTTAGATCCTGGGGACTCCAAAGCAAAGAGTGGCCAACACCTTCTGTCCTACTTTTCTCAGGAATTGGGGACTTGGGCCCAGAAAATCATGACATAATCAAAACCTGGGGCAAGGGGATCAGATAACAATGACCCAAGTCAAGCCCGAGCTGGGACCGTTTCCCTGGTCGCCCTCTCCTGCAATCCCCACTGCCCTTTTGTCTCTAGCTGTACACCCACCTCCTCCTGTCAGCACCCTGATCAGGCCAGACCTGCAGGCCCAGGCGGGACACTCTCCACCATAGGTCACCTGGCACATCTCGGCTTCATTGGCGAGCGTCAGCATGGTGAAATGGTGGCCAGGGTGATGCCCATGTGTGGCATGAACTCAAACACTGCGAGGTGTGGGCAGAGGTCTCAGGGCGTCGGAGGAGGAGGGTCATCAGAGATGGCAACACCATCGCCCACACCTCCAGTGCCCAGAACAGGGCCAGGGAACCCCCTTGCATGGGCTGGGCCACAGGAGAAGGTAGGAGGCAGGGGTGGAATCAGGTGCAGGGTAGGGGAGATGTGGGGGGGGGGGTGACGTGGGGGTGCAGGAGAGGGGAGATGGGGGAGGGGAGGAGAAGTGGGAGGGGAGGAGGGGGAGGGGACATGGGGAGGCGAGAAGGGGAAGGGGATTGGAGGGGAGAGGGGGGAAGGGGAGGGATAATGGGGGGATGGGAGGGGTAAGGGGGGATGGAAGGGGAGGGAGAAAGGGGGGAGGGGGAAGGGGAAAGCAGTATAGGAGGGGGCAAGTGGGAGGGGAGAAGGGGAGGAGGGGAAGAGAGATGGGGAGAAGGAGGAAGGGGAGGAGGGGCGGAGAGAATGGGGAAGGGGAAAGGGGGAGGGGAGGGGGAATGGGAGGGCAGAAGAGGGAGGGGAAAGAAGGGGAGAGAGGGAGATGTCTACCCTTCTCTCCCTCCCTGCCTCCCCTGCCCTCTTCCCAGCTCCTCTCCCCTCTCCCCACCTCCCCTCTCCCCACCTCCTCTCCTCTCCCCTCTCCCCACCTCCTCTCCCCTCCCCTCTCCCCACCTCCTCTCCTCTCCCCTCTCCCAACTCCTCTCCCCTCCCCTATCCCCACCTCCATCTCCTCTCTCCTGTGTCTACCCCGACTCAGAAGGAGATGACGGAACAGAGGAGGGAAGGGGAGAAAAGGCAAGGGGAGCTGGGGGGAGGGGGAGGGGGAGGGGGGGGGAGACCGGTCTCCCACCATTCCCCCATTTCCCCTCCCCCCATCTCCCCTCCCCTTCCCGTATGTCTCCTCTCCCCTCCCATCTCCCCTCCCCATCTCCCCTCCCTTGTCCCTGGGAGGGGAGATGGGGAGGGGAGAGGAGACAGGGGGAGGGGAGACAGGGGAGGGGAGGGGAGATGGGTGGGGGAAGAGGGGAGGGGAGACGGGGATAGGGGAGGAAGACCTGGGGGAAGAGGGGAGATGGGGGAGGGGATGGAAAAGGGTGGGAGGGGAGAGGAGACTTCACCGCCCCCTGTATCTAACTCTCTCCCCATCTCCCCTCCTGACTCCCCGTCTCCCCTCCCCGTCCCCCCCAGCTCCTGTCTCCCCTCCCTGTCCCTCCCCCTCCTGTCTCCCCTCCCCCCTTCCCCTGTCTCCCCTCCCCTCCCCCCACCTCCCGTCCTCTCTCCCCATCGACCCTGCCCCCGGGGGAGAGGGAATGGGACGGGAGAAGGGGGGAGAGGAGAGGGGAGGGGAGACGGGGGTGGGAGGGAGAGGGGAGGAAGAGGGGAAAGGGAATGGGAGGGGAGACGGGGGAGGGGAAAGGAGATGGGGGAGGGGAGGGGAGACCTCCCCCAGTCTCCATCCCTCTCCCCCGCCTCCACCCGTCCCTCCTCTCCCCTTCCGTGCCCCACCCCTCCCCTCCCCCTCTCTCCTTTCCTCATTTCCATTTACTGTCCTCTCCCCTCTGTCTCCAAGGACAGAGAAGGAGATGAGGGGAGGGGAGACGAGGGAAGGGGAGATGGGGTGACAGGAGAGGAGACCGGGTAAGGCGGAAGGGAGGGGGGAAGGGGGGACGGAGGAGGGAGGAAAGGAATGGGGGAGGGGGACAGGGGGTGGGGAGGAGGCAGGGGGGAGGGGGCAGGGGTGGGGACGGGACGGGGGAATGGAGGGAGGGGGACAGGGGTTGGGGAGGGGACGGGGGAGGGGAAGGAGGGGGGAGGGGAAGGAGGGGGGAGGGGAAGGCGGGGAGGGGGCAGAAGAGGAGCGGGGAGGGGGAGGGGAGAAGAGGGGAGACCGGGAGACCGGGAGAGGGGAGGAGGAGCGGAGGGACGGAGGAACAGAGGGAAGAGCCCTGCTCTTCCTGGGCCCGCAGGGAGCAGAGTGAGGAGGCGGGGCGTGGGCCGCCCTCCCAGGCCGCCACTCCCTTGTTGCCTCATAAGCACTCTAGCCTGACGACCAGAGACCGTGGCTGAGGCGGCGGGGATGCAGGGGACAGCCGCGCGCCCTCTCCATGGGGACACTCCGTTTTCTCGTGTACCGGTTCCCAGGGGCTCCTGACCCGCGGCCACTGCCCGCCGCAAGGCCTGCGTGGAGCGCGGAGCGCGGAGCGGGCTCAAAAGGGAAGGAGGGAGGGAGCGAGGGAGAGACCGGGGCCAGAGAGGGAGCAGGAAAGACAGGCTTGTGAGAGAAGGGCCGGCAGGAGAAAAGACGCAGGATGGGGCACAGGGAGGGGATCTCAGCAGCCGAGAGGGCCGGAGAGACACCGGAAGTGAGACGGAGGAAGGCCGGAAGCGGGAGACACGGGAGCCGGCGGGCGCGGGCACCAGGGCAGAGGCGGAGGGCTGGCCCGGCGGGCAGACGCTGGGGCCCAGTCCCCTCGAGCCCTACCGTTGCCGTTGGCCAGCTTGGCCAGGGTGACGATGACAGATTCTTCCGTGAGGTTGAGGGGTTTGAGATGGTGCTGCAGCTCGTACATGACCAAGCTGAAGTGGTTTCGGGACAGGGCCACCAGGGTGTCGCTGGCCACCTCTGCCCTCACGTAGCCCTCCATCTGCAGGGCACGGGAGGAGGACACGTGGCCGCCCCAGCATTTCCTGGTCCTCGCCTGCTCCGGCTCCGCTGGGCTCTCCTGGGCCCCCTCAGCCTACTGTTGTCCCCATGAGCTTAGCGGACGGAGGCCTCGGGCATCCCACAGGCCCCCCAGAGCCCAGCCCCTGGGGCAGTGGCAGGCGGGCAGGGCAGGACCCCCGCGACCTCCAGCATGCCCCGCATCTCCCTGGAGGCGATGGCCACCAGCCTCTGGACGCAGCGCTCCTCCTCCTGCTGGGTGACCTCCTGGAGGATGTTGTAGATGTTGACTTTGCACTGAGTGGAAATCTGGGGAACAAGTTTGGTGGGTGGGGAGGTACGGGACAGGCAGTGGGGCCTGGGAGTGCACAGATCCACCGAAGTCTCCCTCCTTCTGGCCCGCCTCCTAATCCCTAGGAGATTGTGATTTATAATAAGACATGTGTTGGTCTTCACCCAAGTGGAGAAGCATGAAATCCTTGGAATTCCCTAAGCAATGAGAGTGACAAAGATGTCTTTTGTTGTTGTATTAATGAGACGATTTTTGGTCCACACATAAGGATGGGGAGGGCTTCCCCAGTGGCTCAACAGGTAAAGAATCTGCCTGCCATGTGGGAGACCTGGGCTCGATCCCTGGGCTGGGGAAGATTCCCCTGGAGAAGCGAATGGCTACCCACTCCAGTATTCTGGCCTGGAGAATTCCATGGACTGTGTAGTCCATGGGGTTGCAAAGAGGCAGACAAGACTGAGCGACTCTCCCTTTCACTTGAAGGATAGGGGATGGTTGGCTGGAGAACACATCTTCTGATGAGAGGACTGGAACTTTCAGGCCCACCCACTCGACCTCCAAGAGGAGAGTGGGGCTGGAAGTTGAATCAATCGCCAATGGCTAGTGATTTAATCAACTATGCCTAGATAATGAATCCCCATAAAAATCCAAAGGACAGGGTTCAGAGAGCTTCAGGCTGCTGAACACATAGAGATTTAGGGGGAATGGGAGGCCCAGAGAGGGCATGGAAACTTCACACCCTTTCCCATACCCTTACCTATGCATCTGGCTGGTCCTGAGTTAGAATGAATTGGTCATCTAGTAAGTAAAATGTTTCTCTGGATTTTGTGAGCCCCTCTATCAAATTGATTAAACTCGAGGAGGGGGTCATGGGAACCTCAGGTTTATAGCCAATTGGCCACACTTCCCACTGGCGTCTGACGCAAGGGCCAGGGTGGGGTCGTCTTACTGGTGCATGTGTGTGTGCTGGGTCACTTCAGTCGTGTCCGACATTTTGTGACGCTATAGACTATACAGCCTGCCAGGCTCCTCTGTCCGTGGCATTCTCCAGGCAAGAATACTGGGGTGGCTTGCCGTGCCCTCCTCCAGGGGAATCTTCCCAACCCAGGGATCGAACCCATGTCTCTTATGTCTCCTGCATTGGCAGGCAGGTTCTTTCCCACTAGTGCCACCTTAATGGGACTGAGCCCTTAACCCATGGAATCTGACACTATCTCCAGGCAGACAGTGTCAGAATTGAGTTCAATTTTAGGACCCTCCCCCCACCCCACCCCTAGCTGGTGTCAAGAGATTGCGTGACAGGGGAATCCATCCATTGAAATTGGATGCCGAATGATTAACACTCCAGCTGGTGATGAACCCACCATCCTCAAACCACCCCAGCTCTGCCCGCAGCTCCAGCCTGTCTTGCACCCTCCTCCCCTCTCCCATCAGACTCATCCAACCAGCCCTGCCCCCGGGGCCTGCATCTGTCCTCGGTACTCAGCAAGGCGGAGGTCAGATGGTCAGCATACAGGGTCCTCCACAGATTTGGCACTGACCCTCTTGCAAAGTTTAAGACAACATGCTCTATTTTGCTTCCTGCATAGCTCTGGTTGCCATTTTAAGTGACCTGAAAGAGGATAGAAGAATAGTCGCTCAGTCGTGTGCGACTCTTTGTGACCCCATGGACAGTCGCCTGCACCAGGCTCCTCCTCCCATGGGATTTTCTAGGCAAGAGTACTGGAGTGGGTTGCCATTTCCTTCTCCATGAATGAGGATAGGATTGGACAAATAGCTTTTGCAAGCTGACCACTCCTGGAGAGTCAGATTTGACAATGACACTCATTCAACCAGGGATGATACACCCCCAAGAAAGAAAGAAGGTGGGCTCCTCTCTCCACGGAGCCTCACCTGCAAAGCCCTCTGGGAAGATGGCTCCCTTCCTTGGCCAGTAAAGAGGTCACTTCTCAACAGTTAGTTCTGTAGCAAATGTGGGGACCTCATGAGGAGAGGAAGTCAGCGAAATGTATACTTTTATCCAGTACAGAGTCTTGGTACAGAAAGTAATGCTGGTTTTCAGTCGCTCAGTCGTGTCCGACACTTTTGTGACCCCATGGACTTTAGCCTGCCAGGCTCCTCTGTCCAGGGAATTTTGCGGGCAAGAATACTGGAGTGGGTTGCCGTTTCCTTCTCCAGAGGCTCTTTTTGATCCAGGAATCAAACCGGGATCTCCCTGTTGCAGGCAGAGTCTTTACCCTCTGAGCCACCAGGGAAGGTGGGTGGAGAAGGGGACGACAGAGCATGAGACAGTTGGATGGCATCACCGACTCGATGGAGATGAGTTTGGGTAAACTCTAGGAGTTGGTGATGGACAGGGAGGCCTGGTGTGCTGCAGTCCATGGGGTCACAAAGAGTTGGACACGACTGAGTAAACTGAACTGAACTCAATAGAGGCTTATTGCTCAGCTGGTAAAGAATCCACCTGCAATGTAGGTAGACCCGGTTCAATTCCTGGGTGGGGAAGATCCCCTGGAGAAGGGAATGGCTACCCACTCCAGTATTCTGGCCTGGAGAATTCCAATGACAGATAAGCCTAGCAGGCTATATAGTCTATAGTGTAACAAAATGTCGGCTGGCTGGTCCAGACCCAAGAGCTGTAGTGTATTGTTCTGTCTTGTTTTCCCCTCAAGAACCTGCTTCGTTGGAGCTGGAGGACATTTCCCCTCCAGTCACCAGCTTCCTCATTCCTGTCACCTCACCCCCACCTGCAGTGTCATCCCTAGCAGAGTTCTTGGCAAGGAATGAGCTCTGAACGTGTTTTGGTAAATAGTGAAAAGGGTGAATGTTGCACCATACCACAGGATGCCAAAGGGGAAGATAAGGCCTGGAGGGGGAAATTGGGCAGGCAGTTGGTGGTGGACCTCCACCTTTGGCAGATGGGGGTAGAAGACAGAACACCTCTATCAAACCATGCTGCACACCCACCCCCATCCCTCCCCACACACTAGTTTCTCCTCCCTGTCTCATCCAGCTGTTGGCTCATGACCACTGCATGTGTATATTTCATCGTTGAGGGGTCTTTACAAAACTATAAACATTGTTGAAAATCAGAGAGGGTCTCGACCAATGGAAAGCATTTCATGTACACAGATTGGAGGACACTATATTTAAGATGGTGACACTTGCCAGTTTACTTATAGATTCAACACGACCCCCACTATAATCCCAGCTAGCTTCCCACCCCCACCCCCAGAGATTGACAACGTGATCCTAACATTCCTGTGGAAATATAAGGGGCCCGGAATAGCCAACACAGTTATGATTTAAAAGTGAACAAAATTGGAAGCCTCTGATTTTGCAATTTCAAGACTTCTTGCATATTTACAAAACAAGACAGGGTGATACTGGCATCAGGATAGATAATAGATTGATGGAATAGAATTGAGGGTCTGGAAATAGACCTCACATTTACTGTCAACTGATTTTCAACAGGAATGCCAGACAATTCAGTGGGGAAGGAGTAGTCTTTTCAACAAATGATGCTGGAAGCCTGCATAGCCACTTACAAAATAATGAAGTTGGGGCCCTTCTTCATACCATACCAAAAATGAACTCAAAATGGACCATATATGTAAATACAAAAGATAGAACTATAAAATTCTAAGAGTGAAACATAAATGTAGATCTTCATGATCTTGGCCTGAGCAAAGTCTTCTGAGAAATAACGCCCAAAAGCACAAGTGATGAAAGAAAAATAGATAAATTGGACATCATCAAAGATAAAAAATTTTGTGCTGAAAATGATACCATCAAGAAATTGAAAAGACAATCCAGAGAATGAGAGAAAATATTTGCAAATCTAGGGTCTGAGAAGGGACTTGTATCTAGAATATATAAAGAACTCTTATAACTCAATAATACAATGACAAATAAGCCAATTTAAAAACGGGTGAAGGAACGATATACAAATGGCAAGTAATCACATGAAAAAATATTCAAGATCATTACCATTGGGGAAATGCAAATCAAAACCGGAAGACATTCCTCCACACTCACAAGGATGGCTATAATCAAAAAGACAGATAATAACAAATATTGACAAGAATATGGAGAAATTGGGACTCTGGTATATTGCTGGTATAAATACAAAATGGTACAGTGTTTTTGAAAAACAGTTTGGCATTTCTTTGAAATGTTAAATATGGAACTATCTATGACTTAACAACTATGCTCTTAATTATATATGCCCAGAAGAAATGAAAACATTTGTCCACACAAGAGCTTCTACGTAAATATTCAGAGCAACATTTTTCAGATAGCCAAAAAGTGGAAAAAACTCAAGTGTTCGTCAGTGGATGAATGAATAAACAAAATGTGCTTTATTCATACAACAGAGTAGTATTCAGCTATGAAAAGGAATGAAGTGCTTACACCTGCTACAGTAAAGATGATCCTTGAAAACATTACAGTAAGTGCAAGAAGCCAGATGCAGAGGACTGTGTATAATATGGTTCTACTTATTTGAAATATCCAGAACAGGCAACTCTAATGAGGCAGACAAGTAGATGGGTGGTCGTCACGGATGAGGGGAATGTGGGGTGATTGCCAATGGGTACAGGATTTCTTTTTGGGGATGATGCAACTGTCCTAAACTTGGCTGTGATGGTCATCGCACAACTTGGTGAATGTGTGAGCTAAAAATTTGTAAAACTTAAATGGGGTCATTTAGTGGTGTGTGATTTATACCTCAATAAAGATGTTTAAAAAAGATTTTTACAAGTGTCAACTTAAGTTTTCATTTGTTCAAATATGCACCCTTCATAATAGCATATGTAAAATATACACAGCAATGTATATCTTCTGTAGCTAAGTGCTATAGATTTGTGGGTACAAGATCTTATCAGATGTCAGTTCAGGGCCAGATGCCCATTTGAAAGAAACTTATATGTACTATTTGATAAGTCAATGCATATAATTCAACTTTATTACAATAACTCACCTAGCTTAAAGGAAAGTAAACAAATAAATAGGGTTTCATTGGCTTAGATACCTTAAGAAGTCACGACTGGATACAGTGGCTTGAGGAATTCCATCAGGACTCTCCCAGACTCTTCATCTCAGACAGGCATCCTCTGGGGGTTGGAGGGGATCAAGGCTGCTGAAGCCTCCAGATTTGTAACTCCGGTAGAGTCATTCTTTTCCCAAAAGTAACCATCATCTCTCCTACAAACAAAGAAAACAAAGATATGACATAATAAAAAGAGAACTTATTCAAAGCAGCAAAAACAATGTAAAATATGTAACCAAATAAAAATAGTGAATACATGAACTATGTGGAACCAAGGTGAAGAACCCCAAATTACAAGAAGGGGCAGAAAGGCTGAAAGAAACCCTGACCAAAGACACAATCTCTCCTTCTTGGATAGGAAGTCTCAGTGATGCCCAGGCGTCCTTTTATTCTCAAGTTAATCTGCAAGACAGGGACTTCCCTGGTGGTCCACTGGCTAGGACTCCATGCTTCCACTGCAGAGGGGAAGGGTTTGATCTCTCATCAGGGAACGAAGATCCTGCACAGCGAGTGGTGTGGCCAAAAAGCAAAAAATCTTCAATGCAATTTACTTCTAATTTCCCAAAAGGGAAATTTATGGAAATCTGACAGTTTTATTTGACAAGATATTTTCCATGTTCACCCTAATGGAAAAATTGTAAGAGAATAATAGCTAAGAACATATTTTTAAAAAAGCACATTAGAGAAGGATTTGTTCTCCTAGAACAAAGATGTAAGTATATGAAATGAAATACAACCACGGAACGACAGGAACAATGTACTGAAAAATATTTTTATAGTCTTAACATGGAATAGAATAGACCTTCATATGCATAAAAAGAATCTTTTAGAAAGACAAAGGAAAAGAAAGAGACTGTACTCTGTGAAAATGAAAATTGTCTGCATGACCAAATGAAATCACTATGAATAAAATCAAAAGAGAAATGAGACACTGGGGAAATGGGGCACAGGATTGATCACTTCATGGCAAACACATGGGGAAACAGTGGAAACAGTGTCAGACATTATTTTGGGGGGCTCCAAAATCACTGCAGGTGGTGATTGCAGCCATGAAATTAAAAGACACTTACTCCTTGGAAGGAAAGTTATGACCAACCTAGACAACATATTAAAAAGCAGAGACATTACGTTGTCAACAAAGGTCCGTCTAGTCAAGGCTATGGTTTTTCCAGTGGTTGTGTATGGATGTGAGTGTTGGACTGTAAAGAAAGCTGAGTGCAGAAGAATTGATGCTTTTGAACTGTGGTGTTGGAGAAGACTCTTGAGAGTCCCTTGGACTGCAAGGAAATCCAACCAGTCCATCCTAAAGGAGATCAGTCCTGGGTGTTCATTAGAAGGACTGTTGTTGAAGCTGAAACTCCAGTACTTTGGCCACCTGATCCAAAGAGCTGACCCATTTGAAAAGGCCCTGATGCTGGGAGGGATTGTGGGCAGGAGGAGAAGGGGATGACAGAGGATGGGATGGCATCACTGACTCGATGAACATGGGTTTGAGTAGGCTGCCCGAGTTGGTGATGGACAGAGAGGCCTGGCGTGCTGTGGTCCATGGAGTCGCAAAGAGTCAGACATGACTGAGCGACTGAACTGAACTGATGTCTGTTCTCGCTATTTTTTCCCAAATGTACACACAACGTTCTTGTAAACAAAAAATAAGAGACATAATCCAACAACGGGTATAGAATAGAGGTAGAAATTCCAAGATTGGACCATGAGAAGATGCAAAGATGACTAACCAATGCCGGGAGCCGTTATGGGGGGTCCCGCCCGTCACGAGGTCATGAAGAAAATACCAGGCAGGCAAGGCCATCCGGGACCCCATCCATGACGAGCTCACGAGGAAAAAAACCTGACAGGCAAGGCCGTCCAGGATAAGGGACCCTCTAGATTGGCCTCGGCCTCTACCCCACCCTGTATCTACCCCCTTTATCTGCTGTTGTTCTTGTTTACCCTGCTGCGGATTCTTGTGTTGCCTGCTGAGAGTTCTCCTGCTCCTCTTTCACTGAATAAAGACCAACTTAAAACCCTACTTAATAAATCTCCTGGATGCTGGTACCCTATGAAGGGGCCAGGGATGAAGGAAATGCTTCAATTCAAATCCTTTTGCTGGCATTCTGGCTTGTGTGATAAATATGTGCTCTCATTGCAAAAAATGCTCTTGATTGTTCTAAACATCCTAAGCACAGTACGCTAACAAGAGAAACTATTAAGCATAGGCCCCTTCACGGGGTGAGAAAATCTCCACAAATATCATGGCCACAAATGTGCCTAATAGAAAATAGTTTAGATAGAGAATTAGCTGGCGACTTCTTGCAGATAATTAGCTTTTAGACTGAGAGTCTGTTTTGTGCCATATCTGCTGTTTTTGCAATCCTTTACATTTCTGTTCTGTAAAAATGTAATCCTATCTAGTTCCCATAGAGATGACACCTAATAGATAGAAAATAGATTAACCACAAAAAAGACAGGGTCAGCTACTGAAGTTGCTTAAAGTTGCACCAGGTGCAAGTCATAAATTGTCAACAGGCCTGAAAGCCAAAAGATATTATACATAGAGATTAACCATTAAAAAGGCCCTAATAGGCACAGAGCCCTATGGGGGGGGGTGAGGAAGCCCTATTAGAAAATACAAAACATATTGTTTTAAAAGTGGCTATTAGATCAACATTTGATTGATGTTAATGTGCTGAGGTTGTACAGTGGAAACTATTGTTAATATAGTTGGAGATCTGAAAAATAAGAGTTTAGCACTAGTGTAAAAACAATAAGATAATTGTTAATTTTAACCAAGAGTGCTAAACAGGGGCTGCCTCACCAGAGCCACAAAGTTTTTGTGTGTGTTAAACTTTTTAGATAAATTTAGGTAAGAATTTCTGCAAAAAGACGGACTTTTATGTTAACAAGATTGTATTTCTATTATGTTGCAACCTGTTGTATCATGAGACTGCCACTTTTCTGTTTTCTGCTAACCCCAAGGCCAGAAGATAATGTACAAAAAATCTATGGGAAAAGATGCTCATAAACAAAAATATACAGAGCACACCTGGCTTCGTGAAGGACAAGCTGAGGTAACGTTAAACTAAGTCTGTGTGCATATCTCCTCCTTAGAAATGTACCAACTTAGGGTCTAAAGACTACGGTGAAAAAGCAACTGCCAGACTCTGCTGCATGTCCTGGCCTGGTCTCTCTCTCTCTCTCTCTCACTGTGGCCATCGGGGAGAGGATCTATGCTTCAGGTGTTTCCTGGGCACCTGAAGCGCTCAATCATGTATTCTCTCACTGAACACACGTTCATGAGCCCCTGGGGTACGCTATGCCCTGGCCGTGGCGTGGTGAGCAGGTCAGGCCGTGGCCATGACGCCACGGTCGCAGGGGTTCTGTGCGGACACCCCACCAGAGGCGGCTGTGCGCGCCTTCACACCTTCACCTCCTGAGCACCGGCTCTGGGCCAGGGGCTCCGAGATGCTGGTGATTCACTGGGAACAGAGAGCCTCAGCCCAGCTCTTCCGGGAGGAGTGTCGGAGGCCACCCAACCCACCATGAGAGGAGGAGGAAGGGAGCCCATGCTCTCCAGGCTTTGAGTAGAAATCCAGGTCTGAGGCTCCACTTTGTGAAGAACCCGGGAGAGAAGCCGGGACACTCCCAATTCTCTCTCTCCAAACTACCAGATCCCCAGGGCAAAGGTTCAAGGCTAAGGCCAAAACCTGAATCATCGGTTGTGACACAGCTGGTGGCCCCCTGGGGACTCAGGCAGCCCTGGGCACTGTGCCCTGCGGATGGAAGGGACAGCCTCCAGAGACCAGCCTTTGGCCGCTTCAGTCCAATTCCCTGCTTCACTTTGGTGAAGGAGACACAGAGGGGAATTTCTTATTGAGATCTAGTAAGACTGCAAGGAGAGCCAACCAGTCCATCCTAAAGGAGATCAGTCCTGAATATTCATCAGAAGGACTGATGTTGAAGCTGAAACTCCAATACTTTGGCCACCTGATGTGAAGAGCTGACTCCTCTGAAAGACCCTGATGCTGGAAAAGATTGAAGATGGGAAGAGAAAGGGACAACAGAGGATAAGATGGTGGGATGGCACCACCAACTCAATGAACATGAGTTTGAGTAGGCCCCAGGAGTTGGTCATGGACATGGAGGCCTGGCGTGCTGTGGTCCATGGGGTCACAAAGAGTTGGACATGACTGAGCAACTGAAATGAACTGAACTGAACTGAACTGAAGAGCCTTGGTTGGGGGCTGAAAACACCGTTCTAAGAGCCCCCCAGAGAGCTGACGATGGGGCAACGGTGCCTCACCCACCAGGCACCGATCTGCCAGGACTGCTCTGACTCCTGGATCCCCTCTTCAAAGTCATGCAGCACGCCCAGCACTGTCTTCACCTGGCCCCGGGCACACAGGCCAAAGCACAGGATCACACCCTGCGGGGAGATCCAGTGGGCAGGGTGAGAGGGTGGGGCGGGGGACACCCCATCTGTCCCTCCGGGACACACACACACACAGATAAACAGACACGCACGCGCACACTCAGATAAACACAATGCCCGCACACAGGCACCCGCGTGCACACACCACGTCCTCCCGAGGCCCGGGGGGACCACGGGCACCTCACCTCCTGGTCAAAGTAGTCGCTGTGGTCCGTCTTGTAGAGCCACTCCAGCAGCAGCACCCCCACCTTGCCGGCCTCCAGGCCCGTGGCCGGGGGGAAGCCCAAGGCCCGGTACAGAAAGCCCTGGAGAGGCGGGAGGGACGGAGGGCGCTTCAAGCCTCCCGCCCGGGCCTCTGGGGCCACTGCCAAGGGTGGGTCCCTACTCGTTCCTCCAGACTTAAAAATATGCCTTTTGGATATTTTCAAAATCAAGTATCCAGGCTACTCTGAGAGGTTAGCCTGTAGCAGGGCCTGCATGTTACCAAGAGTGGGGGCCAAGTTTCTCTCCTACATAAATGGAATCATTCTACACTCCCACCAACAAACCTAGGAGCACTTATGTTCCTGCCTTCTCTCTGACTTAGGATATTATCCACGAGAGGTGGAATGTTTGCATCTTGGTTAGTAATCTTTGCATCTTCTCATGGCCCAATCTTGGAATTTCTGCCTCTATTCTGTCCCCATTGTTGGATTATGTCTCTTTATTTTTTGTTTAAGAACTTTGTGTGTACATTTGGGAAAAAATAGCAAGAACAGACATCAGTTCATTTCAGTCGCTCAGTCATCTCTGACTCTTTGCGACCCCATGGACCGCAGCACGCCAGGCCTCCCTGTCCACCACCAACTCCTGCAGCCTACTCAAACCCATGTTCATCGAGTCAGTGATGCCATCCCACCATCTCATCCTCTGTCGTCCCCTTCTCCTCCTGCCCACAATCCCTCCCATCAGGGTCTTTTCAATGGGTCAGCTCCGGGAACCAACCTTCTCCAGGGAGGGGCTGTCGAAGCTCTCAATCTGGTTGTTCAGCTCTTTGCTCAGATGCAGTCTCCAGCTGGAACCCCGAGGCATCTTGAGGGAGTTTCTCAGAAACTCGGGGTGGGGGAAGAAGGCACAGGTGGGCAGTGCTCCAGAGGGCTGTGCTCCTCGAGCCGTGACTCTCCCTCTCCAGCGGCTTCCCTGGTCTCTAGAGGGCTTTGCCCTTTCAGCCCTGACCCAGCCCTAGTGCTGTGCAGGCTTGGGGGCTGCCGGGAAGGGGTCACCCTGTGCTGCCTCCGGGGCTTTGGCTTCCAGGGTGTGGTCTCCTGCTGTTGCTGCTTGTGCTCCCCAAGTCTTGTGACAGGAGGGGAACGTGTCCCCTAGGGTCTCCAGAACTCCCCACACGCCAAACCCACCAAGCTGCCCCAACCACCCCCCAGCCCGGCCTCAGGCAGCGGGATCACCTCTACCTGAATCAGCCTGTCCTCCCACGGCTTCTGGTTCCAGGTAAACTCGGTGAGTTCTGCAGAGAGAAGGGCCACCCCTGCTCCTCTCTCCTGAGGCTCCTGCACGCCGCCTCGTAAAGGCAGCATCTGGGGTCCTCCGTGGACGGGCTCCCTACAGCCCCACGTCCCTCCCCACCCTCCCAAGGAGCAGAGTAGGCTGTGCCGGCCACCTGGAGCCCGGGCGCCTTTGCTAAGGCCACGTTACAGGCACTCGGCATGTACAGTGATGTGAGGTGGCTCACACACCCCGGGCTCCTTTGCTCAGACGAGGTGGTGAGTACCCGGCATGTACACTAGGGGTGTGTGGGGGGATCACACATGCACTCGGGCTCCTTGGCTGAGGCCACATGTCTAGCACCCGGCGGGTACACTTACGGGGTGGCTCACACACGCACCCAGGACATCTTATCTTCCAGGTACTTGACCAGCAGCGGGATCTCCAGCTCCCACATGTCGGCCATGAGGGGCGATGCTCTGGCTCAGGGTCTTCAGAAGGTTGAGCATGGTGATTCCATGGCCCTCCCCCTTGGAGGGGGACGACATCAGTACCTGGGGAACACCGAGACTCCACTGGGGCCCCTCGCTGGCTGGGCAGTCCCAGGCCCCGCACGCCTCAACCTGGGGCCTCGCGGTCCGAGCCCATAAAGGGAGAGTTGGACAGGATGGGGCCTTTCAAGCAGAGCTCCGAGGATTCCCAGGATCAGAGCATCCCTGCAGAGGATGCTGAAGGCAGGAAAGGAGACACGAGAGCATGGGCTCCCTCCCCACCCTGGGTTCCATGGAGCTCGGAGCAGGGTCAACACAAGGAGCAGGATGCATGGTGCAGGGTGGAGCTGACCCCCAGGGAAGGGCAGCCTGCTGACGGAGTCCTGTGGATTCTTGGGGCCATTCAAAGGCCCAGCAGAGAAATCTGGGAGCCTGCTGCCCTTGCCATATCTCCCCAGAGGGACGATGGGGGCCTGGAAAGCTCTGTCCTGCCAAGCATCCAGCTCTCTGCTCCCCCTGGAGGCCCTGGGGATTAGGAGCTCATGGGAGGGGTGCTGCAGGACACAGTGGGGACCAGGCCAGTGCAAGACCCGTGAGCCACTCACCAGGAGTTGGGCCAGCAGCTTCTGTGGTGCGGGCAGATCCACTGGGGAAAGAAAGATGCAGGACACTGAGGCTGCCCCGCTCCCGTAACCCGGGGGAGCTACCCCTGTAAGGTGTTGCCCCAACAGCATCCCAGAGCCCCCCAGAATTCAGGAGGGGCCAGGACGGGGGACTTTCCACAAAGGACATCATGACAACTGGCCATCCCGGGAAGGAAGAGCCTGGTGCTATGGGCTGGGGCTGAGAAGATGCTCTTTTTTTTTTTTTCCAATTTATTTATTTATTTATTTAATTGGCGGCTAATTACTTTCTAATATTGTGGTGGTTATTGCCATACACTGACATGAATCAGCCATGGATGGACATGTGTTCCCCATCCTGAACCCCCCTCCCACCTTCCTACCCATCCCACTCCTCAGGGTCATCCCAGTGCAGCAGGCCTGAGTGCCTGCTCTGTTTCATGTGGGGAACCTGGACTGGCGATCTATTCCACATGTGCTAATGTACATGTTTCTGAGCTATTCTCTCGCATCATCCGACCCTTGCCTTTTCCCACCAAATGAAAATGTCTGTTCTTTACATCTGTGTCTCTTTTGCTGTCTCACATATAGGGTCATCGTTACCATCATTCTAAATTCCATATACATGCATGCATATACTGTGCTCTTTTCAGGACGTGCCCGCTTGGAGTGCACACCTGGCCGGCCTGAGAGTGTTTCTCTCCTACTGTGAGTCTTGGCCTCCTTTAGCCAACAGTAACTAGACTCCGTCCCCTCCCCTCCCCTCCCTCTGCAGGCTTTGGGAGGCTGTGAGCCCACGAGTAGGGTGCTCACAGAATTTGGACCAGCGGGCTAGGGAAGAGCAGGCCTGCTGGGAGCTGCAGGGAGGGGAGGCACCCAGGAAGGAGCCAGCCCTAGACTCGTGGTCCGGGTAGGAGGCAGACCAGGGGTGGTCTAGCCGGATGCTCAGAGCAGGCTCTGCCCCTACCATAGCTGGGTCCTGTAGGCTTGTAGTCACCTTCTGTCACCAGCCACATCCATCCTCAAAGCCCCAGGACCATGGCAGCAGCCCCCTGGGACAGCAGGGTCCCCATAAGTAGGTCAGTCAGGTCCCTTACTTGAGGGTCTGGTGCTAACAAGGGTGTCATCACGGTGAGTCAGAGGCCCTGGTGGGGGTGATTCCAGAGGAGTCAGAGGGGATATAAAGTCCTTCCAGTGGGCTCACGAGGGCCAGAGAGCTCACACCTGTGGGAAGCCTGAGCCAGGACCCCTGCCCTCAGTCTGGGCCAGGGTGGGTGGGAGGTGGGGTGAGAGGAGTGAGCTGCCAGAGGAAGCATGCATGGCTTTAACATCCTCGGATTTTGGCAAGGGTGGCCTCTTTGGCAAGGCCGGGATCTCTGGGCTCCAGGCTGCTTCCTGGAGAAGGGGGAACGGTCCGAGGCACGGGGCGGCCCATCTGCCCCGTCCCTCCAGCTGGTGCAGGGGGCTGCCCACCGTGCCTGTTCTTGCTTGTGCTGGCCTCTCTCATCGGTGGCGTGCAGCTGGCGCCAGCCAGGTTGGTGAGGCTGGCGCAGATGGGGGTCAAGGCCTCCGTGTAGTCCGTCTCCATGATGTAGCACGGGAGCCTCACTCAAAATCCCTGTGGGGGCGATGGGGGTGAGGTGGGGGTACTGGGGTCAGCCAGCCTGGGCATCGCACAGTCCTGCGATGAGATCGTCGGTCCCTCCCCACCCCGACAGCATTGTCTCAGCCTCGCTTCTCCAGAACCACACTCTGACCCACTGACTGACCGCCTCAGGCCCGCCGGCTCTGCTGTCCAGCCTGGGTCTCAGTCAAGGCCGTCTAAGCTGCACCCACCCCATGGCCGAGGGGGTCAGCTAGTCCCGGGCCCTTGACTGCTGTGCCCGCTGGCCTCACTCCAACCCCGCATGCAGCACATCCTCTTTGACCAGCCCTCCCTCTAGTGGCAACCCACTCCAGTATTCGTTTTTGAAGAATCCCATGGACAGAGGAGCCTGGCAGGCTACAGTCCATGGAGTCTCAAAGATTTCTTCTTCACTACTAAAGTGAAGTCGCTCAGTCGTGTCCAACTCGTTGCGATCCCATGGACTGCAGCCTACCACGTTCCTCCATCCATGGGACTTTCCAGGCAAGAGTACTGGAGTGGGTTGTGATTTCCTTCTCCAGGAGATCTTCCCAACCCAGGGACTGAACCCGGATCTCCCACACTGTAGGCAGATGCTTTACCGTCTGAGCCACCAGGGAACTCTAATTTCAGACAGGCTTCAGCAACACGTGAACCGTGAGCTTCCAGATGCTCAAGCTGGTTTTCCAAAAGGCAAAGGAACCAGAGATCAAATTGCCAACATCCACTGGATCATCAAAAAAGCAAGAGAGTTCCAGAAAAACATCTATTTCTGCTTTATTGACTATGCCAAAGCCTGTGACTGTGTGGATCACAACAAACTCTGGAAATTTCTGAAAGAGATGGGAATTCCAGACCACCTGACCTGCCTCTTGAGAAACCTGTATGCAGGTCAGGAAGCAACAGCTAGAACTAGACATGGAACAAAAGACTGGTTCCAAATAGGAAAAGGGGTACGTTGAGGCTGTATATTGTCACCCTGCTTATTTAACTTATATGCAGAGTATATCATGAGAAACACTGGGCTGGAAGAAGCACAAGCTAGAATCAAGATTGCCGGGAGAAATATCAATAACCTCAGAAAAGCA